TTCAACAAAATTGCTTAGAGTATAGCAAGCACTTAGGTCATTCAGTAAAACCCTTAGAATATAGCAAGCACTTAGGTTATTCAGTAAAACCCCTTAGAATATAGCAAGCACTTAGGTTATTCAGTAAAACCCCTTAGAATATAGCAAGCACTTAGGTTATTCAGTAAAACCCCTTAGAATATAGCAAGCACTTAGGTTATTCAGTAAAACCCCTTAGAATATAGCAAGCACTTAGGCTACTGATTAAAATATTGTCAGCTGAGCAGTGATGATCCTATTCCCTGATAATGTAGTACAGTCTGTCTCAACTTGATACATTTCCAATCCTATAGTGATGGTACAGTACAGTCTGTCAACCTTATACACAATGCCCCAATGCTATGGCAGTACAGTACAGTCTGTCAACCTGATACATGATGCCCCAATGCTATGACAGTACAGTACAGTCTGTCAACCTGAGTCTGTCAACCTGTCAACCTGATACACAATGCCCCCAATGCTATGGCAGTACAGTACATGGCAGTACAGTACAGTCTGTCAACCTGATGCACAATGCTGTCAACCCAATGCTATGGCAGTACAGTACAGTCTGTCAACCTGATGCACACATGCCCCAATGCAGTACAGTACAGGCAACCTGATGTACAGTACAGTACAGTCTGTCAACCTGATGCACAATGCCCCAATGCTATGGCAATGCTATGGTACAGTACAGTCTGTCAACCTGATACACAGTCTGTCAACCTGATGCCCCAATGCTATGGCAGTACAGTACAGTCTGTCAACCTGATACACAATGCCCCAATGCTATGGCAGTACAGTACAGTCTGTCAACCTGATACACAATGCCCCAATGCTATGGCAGTACAGTACAGTCTGTCAACCTGATACACAATGCCCCAATGCTATGGCAGTACAGTACAGTCTGTCAACCTGATACACAATGCCCCAATGCTATGGCAGTACAGTACAGTCTGTCAACCTGATACACAATGCCCCAATGCTATGGCAGTACAGTACAGTCTGTCAACCTGATACACACAGTACAGTCAAATTACAGTCAGTCTGTCAGTTGAAACTTAGTACAATTTGAAATACTATTTTGACAGTACAGTACAGTCTGTTACCTTCATACATTGTTACTGTGGAGTATCGGCTCAAAACACCTTAGTACAATTTGAAATACTATTTTGAAGTACAGTCACCTTCATACATTGTTATACATCTTATTATAGCAAGCACTTAGGTTACATCTTAGAATATAGCAAGCACTTAGTTAGTAAATCAAACAGAAGAAGAAAGGTGAAGGTACGTGACCTTTTCTTCATATTTTGTTAGCCAGTTAGGGTTAGTTTAGGGGCTAGGGTTAGGTTAGGTTAGGGCTAGGGTTAGGGATAGGTTTTTTATTCTTACAGCCTAAACTTGACTACGATGATTCTTCACGCGAGGGTTTTCGATGGATTTTATCGCGTCTTCACGTGTTTATTTTATCGCGTCTTCACGTGTTTATTTAATCGCGTCAAGTGGGAAGATATTTCAATTGGAGTTGGCCACTGTCATCTGGGTAAGCCACATTTGTTTTGTTTTCAATTGTTTCATCAAAATATATAATATCAAGCTGGTTCAAATGGCTGTCCATAAATGCCATGACAACTTTTAACCTTCGACTAAAGATCAGGTAATATCTATACTATTGCTATTATGTCCACAAATGAATGTGTAAGTTTATAAATGTTTGTTCTTATTGCAGCCATTACCTTTACAAAATCTAACACACAGGATTAAGCAAGCAGTTCCATGGAGGAAGAAAGTGTTTCTGCCTTGAATTGATGGCAAATGTGAGTTTCAATGTTGCTTCAGTTTCAATTGGGTGTGGTGGGAAAGGTTAATAGCAAAACGTGTGCTTGTCATTGTTAATGTGTGAAGTGCTTTTCTTGTGCCCCCCACCATGATATTGCTGGAATATTGCTAAAAGCAGCGGAAAACCATACTCACTCTTTCAAGTAAAGCTGTCTGTAGTTTAAATTTTTAACTAATTTCAGTTAATCAGCATATTCTGAGTACTAACTAGCATAACTTGGTGACCACAATCGTAATTAACTTTCTGTTAATACAAGAGCAATAAAAAATACAATGTGTCATGTACATTTTCAATTTATTTCAGGTCATTATATGGGAGAAAAGCAAGGCACTTGGTAAGCATCAATGGATATCAGTTACACTAGAGATGTTAAATCCAATTTGTTGGAGTTATATAGCAGTGTAAAGCATTGCCTTTTAGGAAATGAAATAGTCAAAGTGACAATCATTTCTATAATGGTAATGTGAACCGACATTTTTCGCGCGAAACTTGTTAAATCCACTGCATTACGTGATCATTTAACGCGTCGAAGCAGAAGATATTTGCAGTGGTGGTGTCCCCTGTTATCTTGGTAAGCAACATTTTTTCATACATTCATCTAAAACAACAATGATGTAGCAATTATTTTATAAATGTAAGTCCATAAATGACATACTATACTTAAAATACACAAAGTAATATCCATTATGCTTTTAAATTGCATTGAGTAGATTATGTATCTCACAAGACAAGTGACATACCCTCTAGAATTTTTATTGTTTCTTCATTTTTCAGGCATTACCTATGGTTCCCAAGCAGTTCCTTGAAGTGAGAAAATCATGTCAACTTTTTAAAAGGATAAAAATTGTGAGTTTATATATCTTACATGTTTAGCGGTCACCTGAGTACTTGACATAGGTTGTAGACTAAAATTTAAATTTACTAAATATCATTAACATACAAAGACAATTTTATGTGTGTTTAATCTATTACAGACCTCATGGGCATGGATTGGGAGAAGGGCAATGCTTTAGATAAGGCCACATCAGTTCTGATATTCTCAAACATTCAGGTTAACAGTAGTTATGGTGTGTGTGTGTGCGTGTGTAATGATTTTATGGAGAAACAATGTGAATGACACCCCCACCCCTAAATTACATGGACAAAGTAACCCCTCTGTACAAAATCAATGACTCTCGACGTCCCCCATATTTGAAGCATACATATTCAATTTTTTATGGACCGCCTCCGTGGTGTAGTGGTTAGAGCGTCCGCCCGGAGAGCAGAAGGTTGCGGGTTCGATCCCGACCGCGTCATACCAAAAGACGTTAAAATATGGTACTTGTTGGTCCCTGCCTGGCGCTCGGCATTAATGGGTACAACAAGGACTGGTCGGCTCGGAGTCAGTATAATGTGTCTGAGTGGGGTATTTATGCTTCACTGCGGCATGGTATCTCAGTGAGCTAGCACTATAAAACCAGCTTAAGACTGGGCTAGTACAAGCAGGCGCACATACACGTACACACGCATGCACGTCGTCATATGAGCGAAATATTCTCAAGCACGACGATAAACCGACTTCACCTCACCTAAATATTTTATGCACAAACATTGCTGACAACCTTCCCCCGCCTACATGTCTACAAAATTGATGACCCCCCTACCATGGTGTCAATCGTGGTGTCATTTGTTGCAGCGGCGTCCCTGATGTCATTTGTTGCAGCGGCAGTACATGGTGTCATTTGTTGCAGCGGCAGTACATGGTGTCATTTGTTGCCACGGCAGTACATGGTGTTATTTTTTGCAGCAGCGTACATGGTGTCATTTGTTGCAGCGGCAGTACATGGTGTCATTTGTTGCCACGGCAGTACATGGTGTCATTTGTTGCAGCGGCAGTACATGGTGTCATTTGTTGCCACGGCAGTACATGGTGTCATTTGTTGCAGCGGCAGTACATGGTGTCATTTGTTGCAGCGGCAGTACATGGTGTCATTTGTTGCAGCGGCAGTACATGGTGTCATTTGTTGCAGCGGCAGTACATGGTGTCATTTGTTGCATTTTTGCGGCAGCGTACATGGTGTCATTTTTTGCAGCAGCGTCCCTGACGTCATTTGTTGCAGCGGCAGTACATGGTGTCATTTGTTGCAGCGGCAGTACATGGTGTCATTTGTTGCAGCGGCAGTACATGGTGTCATTTGTTGCAGCGGCAGTACATGGTGTCATTTGTTGCAGCGGCAGTACATGGTGTCATTTGTTGCAGCGGCAGTACATGGTGTCATTTGTTGCAGCGGCAGTACATGGTGTCATTTGTTGCAGCGGCAGTACATGGTGTCATTTGTTGCAGCAGTACATGGTGTCATTTGTTGCAGCGGCAGTACATGGTGTCCTTTGTTGCAGCGGCAGTACATGGTGTCCTTTGTTGCAGCGGCAGTACATGGTGTCATTTGTTGCAGCGGCAGTACATGGTGTCATTTGTTGCAGCGGCAGTACATGGTGCAGGGGTGGAAACAAGTTTAAAATTGCTAGTGTACTCCGGTACAGTGGCACATGTAAAGACACTTGCCCTGATTATTTCCCACTATACCAACCGTTTTCTTGCTGATCTTTTAAATAAACAACATAATAAACATTGGAAAGTCAACTGGACACCGGTACATTGTGATATACAATTTGCTTGCCCGACAGAAAAAAACACTGGACTTGGACGTCGGGCAATGGGTTATTTCCACCCCTGTGGTGTCGTTTCATGCAGCGGCAGTCCCTGGTGTCGTTTGTTGCAGCAGCAGTGCGTGGTGTCGTTTGTTGCAGCGGCAGTGCGTGGTATCGTTTGTTGCAGCAGCAGTCCGTGGTGTCGTTTGTTGCAGCAGATTGTCTGGTTGAAGCATTCGCTCATCACGCTGAAGCTAAAAGCAGCGTGAAACCAATTTCACTTGCTCACATTCAATTAGTGGTCGCCTCAGTCAGTATATTGTCTGCATGGATTGAGGCATTCCCTGATCTTGGTACTTCAGCTCTATAAAAACTGCGCTTCAAACAAACACACCACAGGCACACCACAATCTGGACTTCAGTGACCAATAGCATTGGTTTGTCAGACTGGGTGACTGTCATCAAAGGTGATGCACATTGCTATGCAGAGTCCCATGGTTTTGCGTCATACCTGTGACAGGGTTTGAATCCTGGTTTACCCCAGTTTCCGTGCTTGTGTTGTAAGCTGTAAGGAAATATATCATTTTAGGCATTTCTCCAATATTTGGATGACATGCAGTGTTCTGAAGTGTGGTTAAACCACACTTGTTTGCTCAACCATTTGGTGGACCGCCTCTGTGGTGTAGTGGTTAGAGCGTCCGCCCGGAGAGCGGAAGGTCGCGGGCTCGATCCCCGACCGCGTCATACCAAAAGACGTTAAAATAGTGTACTTGTTGGTCCCTGCCTGGCGCTCGGCATTAATGGGTACAACAAGGACTGGTCGGCTCGGAGTCAGTATAATGTGTCTGAGTGGGGTATTCATGCTTCACTGCGGCATGGTATCTCAGTGGGCTAGCACTATAAAACCAGCTTAAGACTGGGCTAGTACAAGCAGCCACACATACACACGCATGCACGTCGTCATATGAGGGAAAAATGCTCAAGCACGACTCTAAACCCAATTTCACCTCGCCTCAACCATTTGGTGTATTGTACTGCAATATTGAGCTTAAATATTGACTCTAGCAGATTTATGCATTTATATATTTTGGTGAAAACAGTAAATATGATCAATGTCCCCTATATATACACACATATTAAACCTACAAAATATTATTAAAAAAGTGGTGCTTTTATTCTTGACAATAAAAATAATGGAAAAAGTTCTTGAATATCTGGGTCTAAAACTTGCTTCTTGTTCACAAATTTTCAGCTCATTTATTTAATCTTATGTTGTCAATTGTTGCCAAATACACAATTCAGATAAATGTCTTTGTTCAGATTTTCTTTGGCTATTTTTTGGGTTTACTACAAATTACTCTTGTGACAAGGATCCCTTAAGGCAGTTCTTTGCTCTAAATTGAGAAATGCTGTTGGAACAGGTTAATATCAGTCAAAACAAACCCAGAACAATTTCTGTATGCAATTTCTTTTTGCTATGCGACGCAACGCAATTCCATCCTTTTTTGTATTAAGGGCCTGTTGCTGGCAATACTGGAATTGTTCTCAGTATAATCCTTGGTCCTTTAATGTTCATGTACATTTTCCTCAAATTTTAAAATGTATGTGTTCTCTTTGCCTGGTTACTGAAATATTGCCGATGCAAGTCAAAATATCAAGTTACCACACATCCACTTTAATCAGGATTAGGTGGTACATATTTGTGTGATTGTGTCATCTTAGATAATTTTCGTGTCCAGTGGTCACTGAAATATTGTGGACTGTGGCATATTTCAGTGATTGTTTTGTTTTGAAACTGGTGTCTGAAGATTTCTTGCATTGGAGAAGATAGACTTGAATTGTGATATTCCACATTAAGGCTGTTAAAATTGGAGCAATGTGGAATGAAACTTCATCTGCATAGACATTGTATATACAGCACAAGTCAACTTATAGTATGTATACTGTTTTTTCATGTTGTAAATGTTATTGATTGTTCAGAAATGTTATGGTGCAACTTGCTTTGTCCAACATGTGCAACTGACCCGTGAAGATGCAAGTTAGAATTGATCAGCAACCCATGCTTGTTGTAAGAGGCGACTGGCGGGATTGAGTGGAGAGACATGTCTTGGTTGATGCATGTGGCTCGCCTGATTGCAGCTCATGATGTCAATCACTGATCGGGACCAGACAATACACTTACACACTGCTGTCATGTAGCTGAAAAATTGCTGACCTTGTAACTGATCATATCAACAGCTTTCAATCATTGACATGGACCAGAAGAATTTTATGTACTCTTTTGGTAAAGAAATGAAAACTGTTGGTATTTAATTTTTATATTAAATTTTCATTTTCTCCCTCATGGTGTAATAGTTTGCAAATATGTACCCAGAATGCCTGTAATATAAAGTAAGTATTTTTTCGTACTGTATTAAAGTACCTACATAAGGCTTCCAGACTCTGCCCTTGATATTCGAAACACCATGTAGTTTTTATTATCAAATCAAATCAATGAAACTTGAATCACATAAGGGTGAATATACAGGATACATTTTGGTAGTGAATAGGAGCACCCACACTAGGAGTTACAAACACCAACTAACTTAAACTAACTTTAACCCCAACTGGCATTAATGCATGACAGCTTGCACTTTCTGAAAGTATTCAATACTGAAATGATCTTAAAAATATATTCACCCTGAAATTTGTTCAGTGTAATTGCTTAGCTGTGGTGTTTCAATGTCCTTCTGCATTACTTTTTGAGGCTTTTCACGTGAGCAAGGAGAGTTTGGAAGCCCAGTTGTAAAGCCTTTATCTCATCACGCTGAAGACCCAGGTTTGATTCCCCACATGTGTAAAATGAGTGAAGTGTATTCCTAGTGATTCCCGATTTAATATTACTGGAATATTGCTAAAAGTGGTGTAAAACTATATTCACTATCTGCGGGCTAAGTTAAAATTAAATACAAAGAATGTTATGGTACTATTTGCTGACTATCACCATATTTTAACATGTATTTCATATGGTATTATACTTTGAGTAAAGTAAAGATTTCAGTAGTTATCGGAGGGGTACACAAAATATCTGTTCAAGACTCGTGAAGGTCCGGGTTAGAATGAGCCTTCAGTAACCCATGCTTGTCGTAAGAGGCGTGCTGACTTGCTTGACACATGTCATCGGTTCCCAATGGCGCATATCGATGCTCATGCTGTTGATCACTGGATTGTGTGGTAAAGACTCGATTATTAACAGACCGCCGCCATATAGCTGGAATATTGCTGAGTGCGGCGTAAAACAAAACTCACTCACTCGATGTTCAGGACTATCAATTGTCAGACTTCGAGTGGGTTAGAATTCGAATGGGACTGACCCAAATGTATTGGCATCTTTACTGAGAACAGTGTATTGTGTATCATCACCATTTTGGTAAACTGATGTTTGAGATTCAATCCAATGATGTGTGTATTCATCTTTGAATGTTACAGCAAAATAATATATACAATATATTAGGATTCTAAGTAGTATGTAACTGTAATCATATTTATTCACGCCCACTTTGCTTGCATGAATAAAACATGCATATTTTGTCAACTGCTGGTGAACCATGATTGTAATTAAATTTTGCTTTACTTCGAATACGGGGCAGTGGTTAAGCGTTGGCTCGTCACGCCGAAGACCCGGGTTCGAATCCCCACATGGGTACAATGTTTGAAGCCCATTTCTGGTGTCCCCCGCCGTGATGTTGCTGGAATATTGCTAAAAGCGGCGTAAAACCAAACTCAGTCAGTCAGTTACTTCGAATACACCTTTTGTTATGGACACTTGGACACTTCTAGTAGCTGTCTTTACCCGCAAACCATTATGGCTACAGTGAAAACAGTAAATTTTATCAATGTCCTATATATACATATAAAACTTACAAAATATTATTAAAAATTGGTGGTTTTATGCTTGACAATATAGTTATTTATGGATACAACAAGGTTGTAAAATACACATAGACTTGTTTTGATTAGAATTAAATTTGCTTTGAAAACGACTGGCATCAATCTGTACACAGCATTTGTAAATGTAACCATAACAGAATCTTGGACTTGGGTTTTTAGTTTCTGGCCAACCCTCACCTTCTCATCCAATCGGTAGTATAGATTATGTGTTCTGTATATCCTCTGACAAGGCTAATTGCCATAGCTCCTATGGCCAAACCTAATTACACACTGCCTTTTGAGAAAGTGATCAAAGGTAACGTTTACTGAGAAAGTTTAACCCCAAATACAACATGTTACGTTAGACCACTTCCTAAAAGCAATGTGTGTTCAATGTAACCGTACATGTTTTGCATTACATTGATTCAAGCATCTACCATGTATAGTATGTTGCAAATGTATTCTTTTGTGTCTTGTGACCTGTAAAGATCCGGGTTAGAATTGGTCTCCAGCAACCCATGCTTGTCGTAAGAGGTGACTAACGTGATTGGGTTTCAGACTCGCCGACTTCGTTGACACATGTTATCGTATCGAAATTGTGTAGATCGATGCTCATACTGTTGATCACTGGATTGTCTTGTTTTTTGTAAATAGATTAGTTACATTGCTCCAAAAGGTACTCTTGAAACATAACATGACAAATGTTAAATTGTAGTAGTTTGAATATTCAATTGTACATTGTATTAATGAAGCATACAACTTCTTGGATAACAACTTTTTGTTTATTACGTAGAGTGTTAGTGTAGATTCTTACACTGTCAAAAGAACAAAGTTGTATTCTTCCAGAATGCTGATCAAACAATTGTATATAGGGCAAATTAAATGTTATGTGGTATGCAATTATTTCACTGTTTTCTGAGGATGAATGCGATTGTAATGTGTAATCTCTTGTTATAAATATCATGCAGTGTCTATATTCAATAGCATGAGTGAAAGTCATGTTGTTACTTTTATCAGCCAACTTGTAAAAAGTGTAGCGGTGATTTCACTGTATATTATGCACAATATGTGATCGATCTGATTGAAGCATTTTCAACACGAGATAAAAAGGTTTTTACACATTTTGACAACAATATCTACCCTTAACTTTCTTGTTGAGTATATTTATGTAAATGTAAGGACCACCCCAATTTCAATATTAAAGTATTTAATAGTTCAAATTATGATCCATATCATACTTCAATACTGGCGTGGTCCTTATCTTTATTTGTTGAGTATATTTTGTACACAAACATTGAAACAAATATCTGGGCCTAAAGCTTGCTTCTTGTTCACAAATTTTCAACCCATTTATTTAATGTTATTTTGTCAATTGTTGCCAAATACACAATTCAGGTTAATGTCCATGTTCAGATATTTTCTTTGGGTATTTTTTCGGTTTACTATTTTTCCCTTTAGGCAGTTCTTTGCTCTTGGAAGAGGTTAATAACAAACCCAGAACAATTTCTGCATGCAATTTCATTGTTCATGTACATTTTCCTCCTTAAATTGTATAATGTATGATGTGTTGTCTTTGCCTGGTGACTGAAATATTGCCGATGCAAGTCAAAATATAATTACCACACATCCACTTTAATCAGGATTGGGTGGTACATATTTGTGTGATCTTAGATCATTTTCCTGTCCAGTGGTTGCTGAATATTGTGTTTGGAGAAGATAGACTTGGCTATCTAAGTCTGGATGTTTACAGAAAGCCACAGGTCAAAAGTGTGACTGTGTTGTTTTTGACTTGGAGAACTGGACAGGATGTACCAAATGCTGTATACCAAGAACAATGACTTCATCATGAATTGTGATATTCCACATTAAGGCTGTTATTATATATATGGAGCAATGTGGAATGAAACAATGTATATACAGCACAAATTATAGCATGGATATTGTTATTTCATGTTGTAAATGGTATTGATTGTTCAGAAATGTTCTTGTGCAAAATACGTGTTTGCAACTTACTTTTTCCCACATCAGTATGTTTTAATAAGTTTCCGTTTCATGTGCAACTGACCCGTGAAGATGCAAGTTAGAATTGATCAGCAACCCATGCTTGTTGTAAGAGGCAACTGGCGGGACTGAGTGGAGAGACATGTCTTGGTTGATTGCAGCTCATGATGTCAATCACTGATCGGGACCAGACAATACACTTACACACTGCTGTCATGTAGCTGAAAAATTGCTGACCTTGTAACTGATCACATCAACAGCTTTCATTCTTTGACATGGACCAGAAGAATTTTATGTACTCTTTTGGTAAAGAAATGAAAATTGTTGGTATTTAATCTATATATTGAATTTCCATTTTCTCCTTCGATGGTGTAATAGTTTGCAAATGTGTACCCAGAATGCCTGTAATTATTTTTTTCCTACTGTATTAAAGTGCCTACATAAGGCTTCCAGACTCTGCCCTTGATATTCGAAACACATCAATGAAACTTGAATCACATGAGGGTGAATATACAGGATACATTTCGGTAGTGAATAGCACCCACACTTGCAATTACAAACACCAACTAACTTAAACTAACCCCAACTAGCATTAATGCATGACAGTTTGCACTTTCTGAGAATATTCAATACCGAAATGATCTCAAAAATATATTCACCCTGAAATTGCTTAGCCGTGGTGTTTCAATGTCCTCCTGCATTACCAAAATTATTTTGAGGCTTTTCACGTGAGCAAGGAGAGTTTGGAAGCCCAGTTGTAAAGCCGTTATCTCATCACGCTGAAGACCCAGGTTTGATTCCCCACATGGGTAAAATGAGTGAAGTGTATTCCTAGTGTTCCCCGATTTAATATTACTGGAATATTGCTAAAAGTGGTGTAAAACTATATTCACTAAGTTAAAATTATGGTACCATTTGCTGACTATCACCATATTTTATCATGTTGTAAAGTACATAGTGCAGTAGTTATCGGAGGGGTACACAAAATATCTGTTTGAGACTAACCCGTGAAGGTCCGGGTTCTAATGTGCCTCCAGTAACCCATGCTTGTCGTAAGAGGCGACTAACGGGATCGGGTGGTCAGGCTCCCTGTCTTGCTTGACACATGTCATCGGTTCCCAATGGTGCATATCGATGCTCATGCTGTTGATCACTGGATTGTGTGGTCCAGACTCTATTATTTACAGACCACTGCCATATAGCTGGAATATTGCTGAGTGCGGCGTAAAACTAAACTCACTCAATGTTCAAGACTATCAATTGTCAGACTTCGAGTGGGTTAGAATTCGAATGGGACTGGCCCAAACGTATTAGCATCTTTACTTAGAACAGTGTATTGTGTATCACCATTTTAGTAAACTGATGTTTGAGATTCAATCCAATGATGTGTGTATTCATCTTGTCTTTTACATCAAAATAATATATACAATATATTAGGATTCTAAGTATGTTACTGTAATCATATTTATTCACGACCACTTTGCTTGCATGAATAAAACATGCATATTTTGTCAACTGCTGGTGAACCATGATTGTAATTAAATTTTGCTTTACTTCGAATAAACCTTTTGTTATGGACACTTGGACACTTCTGTAAATAGAGCCTGAAATGGACCAGACAGTCCAGTGATCAACATCATGAGCATCGACAAACGCAACTGGGATACGATGGCACTTTGCTGGGCGAACGCCTTAACCAAAAGGCTACCCCACCGCCCCGAAAACACTAACGAACAGCAAGCAGTACGGAGTGGCATTACTTAAATAACAAAATCCAGCCATATCTCTGCACACTCTCCGTGATTTAGCAGACGATTATCAGCGCGTAACAAGCCAATTATTTCGTGTAAGCCCGATAGGTTGCAAAGCTTTAGATTTAGACAGTATTGAGGGCTTGTCCAACCTTTTTAGCAACCATCACGTGTAAGCCCGGGCTTTTTTTTATAATGGTAGCTACGCCCCTGATTATATAGGAAATATGGTATGAAATTTGAGGGACTTCATAATTTATGGCTGGGTGGGGGATGATGATTTTTATGTAGAAGCATGTACAATACACACACACACACACACACACGCGCCCAACATTTATGCTCAATGTAAGAGACCAACCCACCCAACACAACGCGTGTCATGTACAGTTCCTAAAAGCACATATTTGAAGGCAAGTGTTTCAGTAAGCGAATCCTGCAATTCTTCATGACATCGCGATTTGAGTGAGTATGGTTTTACGCCACTTTTAGCAATATTACGGCGGGGGACACCAGAAATGGGCTTTACACGTTGTGCCCCTGTGGGGAATCGAACCCGGGTCTTCGACGTACGATTTATTTGACGATGGCGGGGTTGTTCTCAATCGGGAATACATTTTGAAAACAGTATATAGTTTTGGGTGGCAGTAAGTATGTATCAACATACCTGTGAAATATAACAAATACTGTGTTATATGGAAGAGGAGTCCGACATCGTGTCTGCAAGGCCCGGATATTGTTGAAGAGGATCGTCACGTGACCCACCCCTGCAGCGATTGCAGGGACTGCACGCTCTAAAGCCCAGGATGTACCCCACCCAGACCATGTTACGGTGGGCTGTACAAGCCAACTTTCGTTATTCGTTATACAACTGTATGGTGAAAAGTTTGTGACATAAATCACAATTATTCATTTAAAACAGATGTGTGGCAATATAGACTGAGATTTATATAACCGACATTAAAAAAACACCCTGTTGACATAGATATTCCGGGTTAAAACGTCTCTTGCAACCTAATAATACCCTCATGCTCTGAAATGAATCAGGACATTTACAAAAATCTATTTAGCCAAGGTAGTGCGGCAGAATATTGACAATTGTATTTGCATGATTTCTTGCCTTCAGACACTACATATGAAACAATATATTAGATGCCACTTTGGCACCCTATGAGGGTTTTGAATAAAGGCTTTTGAGCAAAATCTGGGGACACACGTAGTGGACTTCACACATTGTACCCATGTGGGGAATCGAACCCGGATCTTTGTTGTGACCATTAAACGCTTTAACCACAAGGCTACCCCACCGCTCCTGTTTGGTGGAAGTGAACATCTTTTCAAGTGAAGCGCACATCACTGTTGATAATGATATGGAGGCTGATCATGAGAGCGGATCAGGGAGTTGGAACCTATGTGAGAAGCGGATCCTGGTAGGTAAGGGACGCAACTCGTTTGTCAGCGATGCTGTGACCCATTGTGAGTGAAACCTGGATGCTTAGAATACCACTGTCTGAAGATCAGTATCTCTGACTGACAGTGGTGAGGTGGAATATGTTTTAAGAATGTGTTCATGGATGTTCATACAGGGCCGCGCATGTGTGATTCGTTTTGACTGCTTGTATTACTTCCACTCTCTACCGCCTCCGTGGTGTAGTGGTTAGAGCGTCCGCCCGGAGAGCGGAAGGTCGCGGGTTCGATCCCCGACCGTGTCATACCAAAAGACGTTAAAATATGGTACTTGTTGGTCCCTGCCTGGCGCTCGGCATTAATGGGTACAACAAGGACTGGTCGGCTCGGAGTCAGTATAATGTGTCTGAGTGGGATATTCATGCTTCACTGCGGTATGGTATCTCAGTGAGCTAGCACTATGAAACCAGCTTAAGTCTGGGCTATTACAAGCAGCCACACATACACATACACGCGCATGCACGTCGTCATATGAGCGAAATATTCTCAAGCACGACGTTAAACCCAATTCCACCACCACCACTTCCACTCTCCCCGTCACCTCCCTCCATCCCTGGCTTTTAGTGTATAGTGGTTGAGTTTAGTTTTACGCCGCTTTTAGCAATATTCCAGCAATATCACGACGGGGAACACCAGAAATGGGCTTCACACACCCATGTAAAGAAACGAACCCGGTTCTTCGACGTGACGAGCGAACGCTTTAACCAGTAGACTACCCCTCCGCCCCTAATTTAATGAAGCTTACTGACTGTACTTGCACAGACTCCACCCCAATCCACTGTAAATAAAGGACGCGTGTCCCCTACCCTGATACTATTCAGATTTCAAAGCAGGGCATCTTCTCCACCACACTTGCCTACTGACTGTTTGCGGGGCTGAGGACTCCTACACACTGTAACACTTGCCTACTGACAGTTTGTGGGGCTGAGATCTCCTCCACATTGTAACACTTGCCTACTGACAGTTTGAGGGGCTGTGATCTCCTCCCGTTCCCCCATCCCAAATAATATTTATAAATGAATATAAACTAAACTTATTATCAAAGCCTTAATACAACAATTACTATAGAACTAAAAGCCCAAACATTACTTACAATATATAGGGTCAAACCATGCTGCGTTACCTCTTGTTAATCGGCGGAAGAAAGAAGTGGGCGTTCATATCGGGGAACGGAAAGACCTTTCCGTGTTCGTCCTTGTCATGATGTATTGTATTGTCAACGGTTTCGAGTAGGGGGTCATCTAACAAACAATACTGTTTTAATCTTTAAAGACACGAGGGCCTGTGCTAGGGACTACTCCACACTGTAACACTTGCCGACTGACAGATTGTAGGGCTGAGATCTCCTCCACATTGTAACTCTTGCCTACTGACAGCTTGTGAGGTGAGGTGAAATTGGGTTTTACGTCGTGCTTGAGAATATTTTGCTCATATGACGACGTGCATGCATGTGTATGTGTATGTGCGGCTGCTTGTACTAGACCAGACTTAAGCTGGTTTGATAGTGCTAGCCCACTGAGATACCATGCCGCAGTGAAGCATGAATACCCCACTCAGACACATTATACTGACTCCGAGCCGACCAGTCCTTGTTGTACCCATTAATGCCGAGGACCAGGCAGGGACCAACAAGTACACTATTTTAACGCCTTTTGGTATGACGCGGTCGGGGATCGAATCAGTTTGTGGGGCTGAGACCTCCTCCACATATTAGCGCTTGCCTACTGACAGTTTGTGGGGATGAGGCCCCTTCCGCACGGCAACATTTGCCTACTAAAAGTTTGTGGGGCTGAGATCTCCTCCACATTGTAACACTTGCCTACTGACAGTTTGTGGGGCCGAGGCCGCCTCCACACGGCAACACTTGCCTACTAACAGTTTGTGGGGCTGAGATCTCCTCCACATTTAGCGCTTGCCTACTGACAGTTTGTGGGGATGAGGCCCCTTCCGCACGGCAACATTTGCCTACTAAAAGTTTGTGGGGCTGAGATCTCCCCCACATATTAACGCTTGCCTACTGACAGTTTGTAGGGCTGAGATCTCCTCCACATTGTAACACTTGCCTACTAACAGTTTGTGGGGCTGAGATCTCCTCCACATTGTTACACTTGCCTACTGACAGTTTGTGGGCCTGATGCCTACAGCATACTGTTACTCTTGCCTACTGACAGTTTGTGGGACTGTGGACTCCTCCACACTGTGACACTTGCCTACTGACAGTTTGTGGAGCTGAGATCTCCTCCACACTGTGACACTTGCCTACTGACAGTTTGTGGGGCTGTGGACTCCTCCACACTGTGACACTTGCCTACTGACAGTTTGTGGGGCTGTGGACTCCTCCACTCTGTAACACTTGCCTACTGATACTTTGTGGGATTGAGGACTCCTCCACGATGTAACACTTGTCCACTGACAGCTTGTCTATTCCATACTGTAACATTTGTCTACTGACTGTTTGTGGGGCGGTGGACCCCTACACACTGTGACACTTGCCTACTGGCAGTTTGTGGGCCGAATGCCTATTCCATAATGTTACACATGCCTACTGAAAGCTTTTTGGGCTAAGGACCTATTCCTCAGTGTGATACTTGCCTACTGACAGTTTATGGGGCTAGGGTGACGAGAAAGCAAATACAGATACGAAACTGTGTCTTGGTTGGTTTGGGTTGTTTGCTCTCTACAACATTATCACGTGACCTCATTGATCCCATCTTCACCTGATTATCTTCCTGGTTCAAAACGACTCAAACTGCAGCTTCCATCCATCCTGCTCACCACGAGAGCGTCATCTAACACAATCACGCCATCTCACAGACAACCGTCAGATACCGTCTCCTCATAATGATTCTGTCGAGTAAGTATTTTTTCTCGGGATGCCGCAATCATTATAAAGCATATTGTGAATTAGCTGAATTTCACTCAAGTTATAGGCATGTCTTATTTCGTCTAACTGACGTCCCAAAATATTCATATATCATATATACCCGCAATGCACGTTAAGACTATGTAATGCGTAGCATGCAACAATGTGCAAACAACCACTCGTATGTGTGAATGCCCCTTTAAATACATGTTCGCGAATTGGTGTTCTAACAACACATTGTGAAACGGGTCCGTATTTGTCTTTTTGACGACATTTTTTTACGTTTTGAATTCTTATTTACTGAAAGGTTAAAAATATCAGTTTTGGATTCAAACTCATTTGCACTATATTGAATTACTGTGCACAGAAACTGATGGAGTCTGGATTCAAACATAAAAAAGGCATTTTGAGACAAGTACAAATATACTGTTCCAAACAATTTCATTAATTCATACCAGTGCCGCCAGATTTTCCCAGAAGTGGTAAGCAAGCAAGACTTGTTTCACTTCAGACTCATCTCGATATTAAGCCGACAAACCGTTAAAACACTGAAGTACTGTTCAAAGAGCGTTAGACATTGTCACTCCCTTATTCACTAGAACATTCTCAAAACACTGAAGTACTGTTCAAAGAGCGTTAGACATTGTCACTCCCTCACTCACTAGAATATTCTCAAAACACTGAAGTACTGTTCAAAGAGCGTTAGACATTGTCACTCCCTCACTCACTAGAACATTCTCAAAACACTGAAGTACTCTTCAAAGAGCGTTAGCCATTGTCACTCCCTCACTCACTAGAACATTCTCAAAACACTGAAGTACTGTTCAAAGAGTGTTAGACATTGTCACTCCCTCACTCACTAGAACATTCTCAAAACACTGAAGCACTCTTCAAAGAGCGTTAGCCATTGTCACTCTCACTCACTAGAACATTCTCAAAACACTGAAGTACTGTTCAAAGAGTGTTAGACACTGTCACTCCCTCACTCACTAGAACATTCTCAAAACGCTGAAGTACTGTTCAAAGAGCGTTAGACATTGTCACTCCCTCACTCACTAGAACATTCTCAAAACACTGAAGTACTGTTCAAAGAGTGTTAGACACTGTCACTCCCTCACTCACTAGAACATTCTCAAAACACTGAAGTACTGTTCAAAGAGTGTTAGACACTGTCACTCCCTCACTCACTAGATCATTCTCAAAACACTGAAGTACTGTTCAAAGAGTGTTAGACACTGTCACTCCCTCACTCACTAGATCATTCTCAAAACACTGAAGTACTGTTCAAAGAGTGTTAAGCCATTGTCACTCCCTAACTCATTAGAACATTCTCAAAACACTGAAGTACTGTTCAAAGAGGGTTAGACATTGTCACTCCCTCACTAACTAGAACATTCTCAAAACACTGAAGTCTTGTTCAAAGAGCGTTAGCCATTGTCACTCCCTCACTCACTAGAACATTCTCAAAACACTGAAGTCTTGTTCAAAGAGTGTTAGTCATTGTCACTCCCTCACTCACTAGAACATTCTCAAAACACTGAAGTACTGTTCGAAGAGCGTTAGTCATTGTCACTCCCTCACTCACTAGAATATTCTCAAAACACGAAGGACAATCACGTGATTTCAATCTAAAGTCAAATCTGAAATCAAATCATGGCTTATTTGTTCAATGTCGAGATAATGATGACCTCGCACTGGACTGACTGACTGTTTTGAGTTTTACGCCGCTTTTAGCAATATTCCAGCAATATCACGGCGGGGGACACCAGAAATGGGCTTAACACATTGTGCCCATGTGGGGAATCGAACCCGGGTCCTCGGCGTGACGAGCCAACGCTTTAACCACTAGGCTACCCCACCGCCCCACCTCGCACTGGAATAGTGAAGCAATCGCTCGTTAAAATATTCTGAATTTCATGCAGAACTTCTTGCCATTATGAGTGTGTAATTACCACTTTCAAAGCCTGTTTTATATCAGTATCTTCACACCCCTCTCTTGTACAACTCAAACACAATGACGTTGGGATTTGTATTCTTGATGAAAAACAAGACAGTTGAAATGTCGGCCATTTTGAAATCTGACTCCAAGAAACGAGTATGGTTTTACGTCGCTGTTAGCAATATTCCATCAATAATACGACAAAGGGCACCACAAATTGGCGGAATGGAATGTCCTCATGTGTGGAATCGAACACGGACCTTTGACGTGACAAGTGGGTTTTCCCACCACCCCTGCCCACGTGGTATAGGCTACACCGTGCGATTTGATAGTTGTTTATTCAAACCTTTTTTCTTTCAAGTGAGTGAGTAAGTGAGTTTGGTTTTACGGCGCTATTAGCAATATTACAGCAATATCACGGCGGGGGACACCACAAGTGGGCTTCACACATTGTACCCATGTGGGGAGCCAAACCATGGTCTTCGGCGTGACGAGCGAACACATTAACCACTAAGCTACCTCACCGCACAGAGAAAGCCTCAGTAATGATCCAAGTAAGAAGTGGTCTTTAGCAACCCCGGCTTGCCATAAAAGGCAACTAACGGGAGAAGTTGACCAGGGTCCCCATCCACAAAGCATTCGTAGCGTTACGGCATTCGTAAGCCTATGATAAACTATAGAGTTACGAAAGGTCGTAGCGTTACGAACGCTTTGTCGATCGGGGCCCAAGCTCACTGACCAAGTTGATACATGTGCCAGTATCCTAATGCTCATGATGTCGATCACAGGATTGTGTGGTCTCATAGCTGAAATAAAGTCCGAAACAAACAAACAGTTCAGTATGTGTATTTTTTTGGCGACAACGTGGTTTAAACTAAACATGCCTTACAAGTGACATTATAAAAAGTTAATAAGGGTTTTGTAGTGAATAAATTGTGACTGTGCAGGTGGTTGTTTGAATAGCATATCTTCTGATGGCATATATTGACTTTTATCATCTAATGGAGGGTGTTATCGGTGCAATAAATCAATCTAATAAACTTGGTATCCAAATCTGATAACTATGCAAATTACGTCATTCCACGAACTACTTTCACAAAACTCCATACACACCATGCGAATCCTAAAACATTTTTAACATTTCATTGATGACGTTGTCGCGAGTTTACATTGTTTGGGGGCAGCCATGTTTGTTTACATTCTCAAAATTGATGACACTCTCCTACCCAGAGTTCCATGCGGCAAGCCAGCATAGTACCTCTGCCACAGGCCAGAAAAATGTGACGATTCGTCACATCTTGCACCGTCCATTCAATATAATGTACAGATTATTTTTACTCTTTTATTTTTGACGAGTCTACACATCTAGCTAAACATCTTTAATAGAATGAATTAGTTTCACTGAGAAAATATCCAAAAACATGTAACACTATTTCGATTTGCGTAGCGATCCTTTGTTTACATAGGTTGTACGGCTCCACGTGCTGTCATCGAAGCCGACGGAGAGCAAACGATGCAGCCAGTTTGATATCTAAATATGTACTGTCATAGACCTAACTGTCGCAGTTGTGGAAGAATATATATGTAACAATGTAAAACATTATGAAGAGAGCGCCGGAAAGCTTTCGTGAGTCAAGTCTCTTCTTATTATGAATATGCGCGTTTGATTACAAACAAGAGAAAAGTCCGGTCACGTGATATGCAAATTAGCCTGTGGCAGTGATGTTATGTTAAGTCATCGCTGTGCCGGAGTGTGATTTGATGATTCTGTAAGAATTGATGACAGAGGTTCTGGAATCGTTACTGCAGTAAATGACTTTGGAAAACATGAAACGGAGTACTTCGTTCAAATTAAAGGTACTGATTATGAGGCACGACTGAAAGGCAATCGTCCAAGAAAGGTACCAACCTAGGATTTCGATCTATCGATCACAATACAGACGACGAATCGATTCCGTCAGGTATCAGAAACTGATATTGATGAGGTGATTACCCGCATTGAAAATAGAAACACTGCCTGAAAAACCCTGCCCGATTTTGTTCTTCTTTTAAGACAGAAAGATCTTATTTTAAGCATGAGTTATGTTTGCACTGTATTAGCGACTAGTCACAACCATTTGCTGCCGTCATCAACGACCTTCACCTTGGTGTGCCGCTAAGTGTTCTTACGCGAATGCTCGATTCTCTTCATATAAATTCACGTACGATTTGCTTCTTTTTTTAGACTAATTGTAAGAATGACATTATATGATAAAGATATTATTAACCTCGTGTGTTTCCGTATCATTAATATCATATATTAGGAATAAAAATTATGTATTATGCGAGCCTTGTTATGCGAGGAATATACCATTTTTATTCCTAATATATGATATTAATGATACGGAAACATACTCGGTTAATAATCTCTATTTACTCTATCTTCCTCATGTCAAGGAAACAGAAACTTAAAGTGAAAGTGAACGAGCCTTTGAGGGAGGAAAAGTTATCCAGTCGCTCATTCCTCAAGCATTAATAATATCAAAGGATATCCTGACTATCTGGGCAATTAGCATGCTTCCTTGACAATTTACAAATTTATCGCAGTTAAATCTACCCAGTGAAAAACCTCTGGCAAATATCTTATATGCTACGATGGGTGGATGAGTTTAGTCTTACGCCTCTTTCAGCAACATCCCAGCAGTATCACGGCCGTGGACTCCAGAAATTGGGTTCACACATTGTACCCATGTGCCGAATCGAACCCGGGTCTTCGGCGTGAGGAGCAAACGCTTTAACTACTAGGCCACCCAACCGATCCTTACGAGGAAACAACAGAAAGCATTGATACATTGTTTCGAGAGTTTACGTGATAGTCTATATTTAACACTACGAAGGCAATTAATCATAGGGCTAATTTTCCTTATCATTTCATTAATGCGGGAATGCCAAAGGAGATTTTCCTGAAAAATAATGCCTTAGTGTTTATGGATCAGCACTTCATCAATAGGGGGTTCCCTTTTATCGTGAGGGGAGGTTTCATAGAAGGTTTGGTTTTGTGTGAAAACTGGATAGTTTCAGGTTTGTTTGGATTAAATTTTACTTGCCAGGTTTCCGCCCATTTAGATATTCTGTCTAAATCTGAGTTAAGAATAAATGCACTCGTATGGGCATCGTAGATTATTACATAGAGTGATGTGTCGTCTGCGAAAAGGCGTATATTACTTTCGATTCCATCAACTATGTATATTAAGAATAAAAAGAGGCCCAAGGACTGAACCTTGGGGCACTCCGGCTATTGTCGGTTTTAATTCTGATTTGTAACCTTGAATAACTACTCGCATTCTATTTTGCAAATAACTTCCAAACCAGTTCAATAACTTCCCATATATCCCACATGATTTTAGTTTATGGATAATCCCTTTGTGCCAAACGTTATCAAATGCCTTGCTTATATCGCAGAATACAGCTCTTACTTCTTTTCCGTTGTCTATAGCTTTAGCAATAAAATTATACAAATGCGTGAGTTGGTAAGTTGTTGAATCTCCTCGCATGAATCCAGATTGTACATTTGAGAGGCAATTGTTATCTCTCGTGAAGTTAAAGACATATTTAAATATACATTTTTCAAAGACCTTGGATAAACAAGATGTTAAGGCAACGGGTCTATAGTTCGAACAGTTGTTAATATTACCTTTCTTGTGGATTGGTATGACTGATGATTCTTTCCATATGTCTGGGAAAACTGATGTTTGAAGTGACTTGTTAAAAAGGTTAGTTAATGCTAGTGACAAGGAGGGGATACCAAACGTAGGAAGCGGTTTCCAATACCATCTGGTCCACTCGCTTTGGTAATGTTTAACGATGATAGAACATCTTCAACATCCTGCTTTGTAAGATATAAATTCCTCATAGATTTACTTTTATTGTTTAAGGTCATATTTGGAAGATCTTTATTAGGGTCAGCGATTGTTGCCTGGTCAATAAAGTAATTATTTAAAACGTTTGCTATTGATTCTGGTTCTTGATAGACTTCGTTATAACGGGAAAGGAGGTACTTTCAGATTTTTTGTTCATATAGTTTTTAACTAAACGCCACCATAGTTTAGTGCTATGATTATTGTGTATTTGAGTGTCTAATTTTGTTGTATAATCTTTCTTGGCTTTTCTAACTGCCGAAGTCACTTGATTTCTTAGTGATCTAAAAGTAGCCCAGTCATTTTCACCATTTTTTTGTTTCGCTATTTTATGTTCTCGATTTCGTTTCCTTATGAGTTTGCGAATGTTATTATTCATTCTGACATTTGGTATATTGGAATCGCAGATATGAGATACGGTTTTCACAAATGCACCTGTGCTCACATTTATGTCAGGTGATGACAGTACGTTTTCCCAATCAGTATTATCAACGTGGAAGCAGATATCGTCTTTGTTTACCAATGTGTAATCATAAACTTTTTCCTTTTTGATAATTCCAACCTAGCCCGCTTGACTGGTCTAGCTACCTTGAAACGATGAGCAACTGACAAATTGTGACACGACAATTAATTTATAATACAAGTGACACGTGTCACTAACCAAATCCTTATCCATACTCCTTTTATCAGGCAACATCAATGAGCTTAATGCCGATGGTAATCCACTGTGTTGTTAATACACGTTCAGCCAATCAACAGGAGAGCCGAGAAACCGGAGGCCGGTTTAGAGAGCGTTAATTACTGTACAAACAGTTAATTGGGCGGTCTTTGTTGTGCTAATCAACTTAATCTTTCGCATTGGGCGTATGTTTCACAGTCTCTTAGTCTGACAGTTTGAGAAATATTATATAGTCCTTTTTGAGTTTCTACTTTGGTATTTAATGTTGTGAAAAACAATGATTAGACAATGTCATTTTTAGAAAGTGGTCAAATGTAACATATCTTATATTTGGGATTACACTTTCGTTGTAAAGTACAAATTGGGTTGAGTCCCATCCGGGATTCGAACCCCAACCTTCAGAGTCAGGCACCTAATCGCTAGCACACAAATACCCCATATATAACAAATGTTCTATTTGACCACTTTCTAAAAATGGCATTGTGTAATCATAGCTTTCGGCCGTTGGAGCCATGAAAATTTACATTTCTCAAAGGGGTACACAAAGTCCGCAGTCTAGACTACCAGTTGTCCGACTTTCATTTTTGTGGAAGTAGCGGTGGCTGAGCGGGTTAGACGGCTGACTTTGTGTGCTGGCGATTAGTTGCCTGACTCTGAGGGTGTGGGTTTGAATCCCGGATGGGACTCAACCAAAATATTCCAAGAATTTGTACTTTACTGAGAAAGTGAACTCCGAAATATAACATATGTTAGTTAAAAAGAAATTTATTTTATTTGCAGATTCAATAAAACAAATCCCATTTGTGATTCTTAAACCCTATTTAGAAATATAAGGTGAACAGCTGGTAATAATTATTTTTTTCTCCTTCTTTTATTTGTTTTAAAGAAGTGTAATTCTTTGAAATAAATAAAAACAGAAACAGCAATATACAATGTACGAGTGCTCGGTTACATTAAGTACCACAGGAAACAAACCAGAATAGAGTTGTCGTTCTTGTTTAAAGTGGTTCTGATGTTCATGCGCCAATATGAAATCCTATCAGAGGGGTGGGAGTCGATATTCAGGAATGACACCTCATTTCATTCGTACAGCCAGCAGAGGCATTTAGGTTGTGGACGAGATAATATGTGGTGTTGCCTTATAACGTCTTCAAGAATAGGAGCAACATTGTCAGATCTTAAGCTATATACATGTACATATACACCAACGCATTCTGGCAGTGGGAACTGAGAACTGAGCTCAAAGGAGCCTGAGAATAGCTGACAATAATACGTTGTGTAACCGCAGAGGGTCAGTTGAGAAGTGTCATTTGAGAACTGTCCTTTAACACGTAGTCCTACAACGTAGTACTAACAACATGTTCGATGGATATTATGTTTAATGGTGTTTGCTTATTTGCAGTGATATTCGCCATTCTGATCATTGGGGACAGCACACATCACAAAGAGACAGAAGCACGCCTTCAGAAGATACCATGTTCCCCATGCTACTGCACCACGACAACTGACGGGGATATCCACGCAGATTGTTCAAACAAACATTTACACAACATACCATCCTCTCTTCCTACAAATGTCACACATTTGATAATGACGAATAACCTCTTGACCAAACCCGACTTACACCGACTCTCCCATATAAAACATCTGGATTTGTCGAAGAATAACATTAGCAGTTTGAATGATAGCCTCAAAGGTGTTGTAACATTGCTGAGTCTAAATCTCCACGGCAACCAACTCACTCTGGAGAAGGCCACATACCCGAAAGGAACGTTTAAAGATCTGGAGAAACTTGAAATCCTCGACATAAGTAGGAACGTATTGGTCACGAATTCATTGTATCCTGATGACAGCTTTCGAGATCTTGTCTCTCTGCAGACGTTGGTGGTGGATGGACTCGAGAACTGCACCTTTGGACAAGGCTTTGCCAGATTAAAGAACCTTACAACACTGAACATATCAGGCCAAAGGGGATATTGTTCCATCAATCGTTTGTTAAATGAGTCATTTCTCCATACACCTCACCTTAGAAACCTAGATATAAGTAAATGTAAAATAACAGATATTGATGTTGGTTCGTTTCTTCCTTTGAGAAACATTGACACATTAGACATGTCCGAAAATGATCAACTAGGGTTTAAGACATTTGGTGACTCTATGTATGGCCTTGTGAACTCGTCTTTAAGAGAACTTATGCTGAATCAAATCACAAGCAGTTTTGACATCGGTGTCCAGATACGGAGGACTCATTTCCGTTTCTTCACCGAAATACATGTAAAGGAGCTTTATCTTGACTGCAACAGAATTGAGTACATAGAGGACACCGTTTTAGGTGTTTTACCTTCAGTTGAAATCATCTCCTTGAAGAATAACGATCTGCAGGTAGGAGCTTACCTGTTTGCTTCAGATCAATTAGTAAGTCTTCGTAAACTCTATATCAATAACCCCTATACAACAATCGGACCTTTACCAGGAATTGTAGTAACCAATGGTTCATGCGTTGACAGAGAGCATGATCTGAATAAAGTTTTCAGTTTGTACACGACGACAAATACAGACATGAGCACTGTTCAAAGACGCCAAAGAAGATCTTCAGTGTATGGAAAAGATGAAACAGTTAAACGCAAGAATGTGTTTCACATAAACTACAATGGTGGTGTCAATGAGGTGGAACTCTCACAATTACAGAGTAAACGATTATCCTCAGATCCAAATAGAATCAGCAAGCAACATAAGAAAGACGAGATTCATTATTCAATGTCTGTTACAATACCCATTGCTCCAAATGCAACATTTGTTAATGCCAGTCACAGGGATATCAAAGGAATAATTGGAAACATTTTATTTGGGCCGAATAAACTGCAAACTCTTGATTTATCATTCAACATGTTAACAAAATGGGTAGGCCCAGTTCAACAGGCTCAAAATCTTAAATTTCTGGATCTTTCAAACAACTTTTGCAAATCCATTGCATCAACGTTTTTGGAGCATGCAAGTGGTCTACAAATATTGAATATAAGCGCGAATTACCTCGCTCAGTCCGTTGAAAGTGACACAGAAGGGGAGATATTTATGAATCAACACAATGTAGAAACATTCAGAATTTCTTCCAATTTGATTCGTCATTTGCCCTCTTCGATTTTTGCAAGCATGGGTAAACTGAAAGTCCTTGATTTGAGCTGGAATATGATGAGTTCTTGGGCTGTTAACATACATCAAATGAAACATTTGTGCATGTTAGATTTGTCCTACAACAGATTTGAAACTGTTCCAGTGCGTCTTCGGAATCAGATTGATGCAATTATGAAGGAAAGGAAAGACAAATTTCACATCAGAATGAAGGGCAACAACCTTAAGTGTACATGCGATACTTTAGATGACTTGTGGTGGATGTTGAAACCATATGTAGCAATAGATGACGCATCTGATACCATATGCAGCCTATCAGATGGAACCGAGACGTCTTTGGACAAGCTTAACAACCTTGTACTTGATCTTCAAGAGAGATGCAAAACTGTCATTCCAGTGATATTTGGAGCAGCCACGGGACTCATTTTGTTTCTGTCAGTGGTAGTAGGTGGCGTCATATATCGCTACCGATGGAAGCTGAGGTATTTGTACTACACAACTAGAAGAAAGTACAGAGGTTACCAGAGACAGATGGGTGAAGAAGAACACTTCATATACGACGCTTTTGTCTCATATGCAGAAGAGGAGAAGGAGTTTGTTGTGCAGGACATGCAGAACATCTTGGAGAAGAGATTCGGCTTAAGACTCTGTATACACCAGAGGGACTTCATGGTTGGTGAGCCAATCACTGCCAATGTAGTAAACGCAATACAGTCGAGCAGGAAGACTATCATCCTTTTAACTCCAAGCTTCCTTCAGAGTTCCTGGTGTGAGTATGAGGTCCACATGGCCAAATTTGAGAGCATCCACTCTGGGAGAGATATTTTTTGTGTAGTATGGCTCATTGATGTACCTGATACCAGAAGGATCAGCAGAGACGTCTTAGATGAAATTGAGCATGGTACCTACATCAAATACCCAGCAGACGAAGTGGACAGAGAAGAGTTCTGGCAGAAGATCAAGGCAGCCATAACATTCTGATGCAATCAATAAGCAAAGAGTGTTTTTTCTTTGTGTTTGATTTATTTAAGAGCACTGGCTTTTTCAAATCACCAGCATACAAAAGTGTACCTTTGATACATATTCATTTTGGGTAGCTCATCGATATGAACTATTGCTATGTCAAAGTCTGGATGACTCAGATGGAAGGTGGAAGCTGTACATGGCGCTTACTAATTGCAAATAGAATATTTCATAGAAATCGAGGGATATTGTTTTTGCTTGTTTATTGTTCAGTTGTTATTCATTGTGGAACAATTATATAATTGTATTGCTTTTCTTTTCTTAAGATTCTGAAGACTGTAGTTGTGTGTTGGTTACTATAGTTACTATATTGGAAACGTCTTGGGCAGCCAAAATATTGCAACACACAATATGTGTGGATTTCTGTGTTACATCAAACATTTCCGTGTGGCTGTGGTCTCCCGTAGTGTTTTCAGAAAGTTCTGTAAGTTCCAGAACAAACACCTCGGGAAATGTTTGTGTGTATGGGGGGGCACTCTTCCCTCGAGCATCTCACAAAGGACTTTTGCAAGTCTGCTGTCCATAACCAAAGTTAGAAAATGGCCGATTGGCCCCAGAAGAATGACATTGTGGATGAGGTGCGGAATAGCGCAGGCTTACCATACATGTGACACAGGATTTGACTCTAGGGGACTCTTTGTATCAGTCTGCATTTGACCCTCGGACAGCAAGCACATGAATGCTGCCTGGCCGTTGATGTAAGGCTATATCGAGAAATAAAGTGTAGTGGATCCACAGATGGACTCCTGTGTTTGAACAGTCATCTGGAACTAGACCCGGGATACCTACCTGAAGCACAAAAGGACTTGTCCTGGAGTTGATAGTATATTCCAATGAAGGTGACCCGAGGTCGTCTGATAGATGTTTTGCGTCTGACCTCTCTGGACTTCAAGTCCTTAAAATGAAAGGACCCATTGCACTGGTTTCAAAACCTGAGAAAAGAAGGACAGGTGAGTTGTATTTAAGGGCACCTTTTAACAATATTGCAGTTATATCATGCTGTGTTACTTTGTGCAGGAGGAAAGCCTGAAGTGATGCATGTCTCAGACGTTTACCACTTTGGTGAAGTCCATGAGCATGGAGCTGATGTGCAACATGTTGGGACCACACCATGTTTTACATCAAAGATTCAAAGACAGATCGAGTGGGTATTGTTACTTTGAATGTTATTTTATTCAAACAAATCATTTTGTATCATGTTCATAACACCATAGACAACAATGGAGGTGTGAATACCGGTATTCTTTGCTTAAATAAATTGGCATTTGGCACATAATAACATAGAAATATTTTACATAGTATTTCAGTGGCTGTCATGTTGGATTGTGTCACGTGGTGGTCACATACATGAAACGTGTTCCAATGTGGACTTCAGTGGCTCTGGTCCCTTGTAACTGAGATGATCTAGTGATTAAAAAAACAAGGACCTTTCATGAATATATTTTACTGTTGAAATATTGCTTTTAATAACCATATAGTCAGGTTTAAGCCACCTGAAGCGCCTTAAAATGGAACGATTTTTGAAAAGGGAGAGTACTCCCATTTCAGGTGCGAAGACGACCGACTACTTTCAGTGAATGAGTGAGTTAAAATTGTATGTCACATCGGCAGTATTTCAGCCATATCGTTACAATATCAAGTTATAGTGTAATGATAATTAAAGGTAAATTATAAAACACCTGCCACGAAGGACAGTAAAACAAGTACATGTAGTTTATCACAGGTATATGTCTAAAACTAGTAATTAAATTTAAAACAGTTTAACTTTACATGACAAGACAATATTAAAACATGCTATAGACTGCCAACAACTGAAGGTAATCACCATATCCGACTAAGCCAACTGGGGAGGTAGGCGTTTCGCACAAATATTCCACATGTTGAGGTTGTCGAAAATCTGGTTGATGACATCTTTTGATTCGAGTTATCAAAATAGAGGAATCGAGGAATGTACTCAATTTGTTTTTCAATGTTCTTAAAATCAATCATTTGCTGATGTCCTAATAAAATACATGTCACTCACTATAGTAGTTTGTTGTTACGTGTTCATCAAATAGGATATACCTTTGCTAATTTGTAAGGTTTCCTTGTTCTTCTAGAACTGACAACTTCCACTGTCAAAAGTCAAAGGTGTTCATTGCACAAAAGGCCTCCGGCCCATATACATTGGAGTTGTACATATACATTATACATATGTTGCAATAAGTAGTAATTAGTGATCCAAACAGCGAATCATGTTACAGGCAGTAAATTACGTAACAAGTAGTGAAATATGATGGATCTACAAAACTTTATATCAAATTGTTACGTTTAATCAGAGCATAATTAATATAGTACGACAGCTTTATTATTACTTGCTGGTCAGTTGATGAAAGTGGCTTACATAGATAATATTCAGCTGTATATTTCGTACGCAAATCTTTATAAAAAGGACATACAAGTAAATACGTCTTCCTTCGTTTACCATTATGTTGTTCAAGCCTAACCTAAAACGTATAAATGGATATCTTAATTTCTTTGATGTTAAAAACGATAGATATTTCTCTCGTCAGAGTAATGATTTTTATATTCTGTAAGAGTCATTCCCTGAACTATCATCTTTTACTGAATGCCATTCTGGATTAAACATATTAAGAATTCTTTCACGAAACGGAGCTAAAAACATGCTTGCATCACCAACTCACTGACTTAACCATACAAAACCATAACCATGTGAAAACAGAAGTTCTGAAGTTCTGAGGGATCACCTGAAGCGCCTTAAAATGGAACGTATTGTAAGGGAGAGTACTCCCATTTCAGGCGACCAGACGATTGTTTTGAAGCCAACTTGGGAGGTTGGCATTTCGCCCAAATACTCCACGTGGTGAAGATATGTACGTAAATCTGGTTGATGATATCTTGATCAGATATCGATGCTTCAGTCAAATAATCCCGACTACTTAAATCGTTTATGGCATTATGTTATTGTTTAAAAATCATGAAAAATATATATCGTCATATTGAAAATACTGAGAGCGTAGCTAACAGAATTGTGCTGTCTAATGTGAAGTTTTGAATAAGAATCATGCGATTGTCGGTGAGAGATTCAAATACACGCACGTGCGTTTGTTGACATAACGGCTCTCACTGGTCCAACTGAGTGGGGCGGCGGGGTAGCCTAGTGGTAAAAGCGTTGGCTCGTCACGCCGAACACCCGGGTTCGAATCCCCACATGGGTACAATGTGTGAAGCCCACTTCTGGTGTCCCCCGCCGTGATGTTGCTGGAATATTGCTAAAAGCGGCGTAAAACCATACTCAGTCAGTCAGTCCAACTGAGTGTATTTCTGACGATCTTGCGGGCTTGTCGTGGCGATTGTACGTGCGCTTCCAACAGTTTTATATCTGTATGTAACTAATCTTTAATCTTTAACACCGGCCATATATTTCAATTCGCTGGGAATACTTTAGTTTGACCTTTTTTTTTGTCATTCACATATTTTTCAGCGTATTCATTTAAAATCCCACTTGGGGTATGACAGCAAGGTTACATATATGTTCAGCTTGAGAAATACTTTAAAGTCACTTTATGAGTTTCTGCTTTGGCATTTAATGTAGCTGAGTTTTTTTTTGTTTTTTATTTTGCATATTCAATAAAACAAATCCCATTTGTTATTATCAGACCTTTTTCAGAAATATAATTGGAGGTGAAAAACTGGTCATAATTACGTCAGAATATGTTTTTCACCTTCTTTTAGTTGTATCAAGTTTCATTCTTTAAAATATTCAAGGAAAAACAAAAACAGCAATACAATGTATGAGTACTTTGGTGATATGTGCCACTGGAATCAAACAGGAATAGAGTTATCGTTCCTGTTTGAAGTAGTTCTGATGTTCCTAAACCAATATGAAATCCTCCCAGAGGGGCACGGGTCGCTATTCGGCTTGTCCCGGAATAACACGAGTTGGTCACGAATGGAGAAGAAATTGAGTCAAAATAGTTAGTTGAAATAAGTTTCATTTCGGCTTGCATATTTTTTCCCCAGACACTTCAAGTATATTTACGAATGTCGTGTCCCTATGGAAGGATTTCATATTGGCGTATGAACTTCAGAACTACTTTAATCAAGAACGACAACTCAATTCCAACAGTGATAAACATTACAGAAGATTTTAACCTGTTAAATAAATAATGATAGTGATGATTTGTTGAATACACGTTCTTATGTAATTATTACCAGCCGTTCACTATATATTCCCAAATACGGCTTATGAATCGCACATGTTCTTTTCTTCCTGAATAGGCAATTAAAATAACATTTAGCTGTAATAAGAGAAAATAAATACACAAAAATAACTTTAACATATATCTCAAACTGGAGAATTTGTTGAGAGTGTTATCATGAATTAGTGTACGCGGTGTCAACCAGTTGTCTGAACTTGCATGTAACCTTGCTGCCATACCCCAGGTGGAATTTATAATGAATACGCTGACAACATATGAAGGGACCAAGAAGCTAAAATGTGCCCACTTAAGTGAAATGTAAGCCCAGTGATTGAGTTTAAAGTTGATTAGTCATAAAAAAATATTTTGTTTTACAACTTATGGATTTGAATAATTAAATTAACTAAAAATGTCGGAAGCGCATGTAGAATCTCCAAAACATTCCCGCAATTCGCACGTGAAAACACTCAATTGGAAATAGGAGAGCCGTTATGTAAACAACCACACGTGCGTGTATTTGAATCTCTCACCGTCCATGGCTTTATCCTTATTAAACACATCACACGAGGCAACACAATTCTGTTAGCTACGTTCTATGTACTTTCAATATGCCGATATGTATTTTTCATTATTTTCTAAACAATGCCATCATACAATAAACGATTTAAGAATATTTTTATCAAAGCACAGCAATCATTACGCGCGTTCTGATTGGTTTGTCGTATTTTCGCACGTAAC